GAAATGGATCACTTGAAAGTTAGTATTTCGATTATTTTCCTTTGGGCCTTGGAAATTGTCTTACAAATTTATTGGGATATTTTCTATAAACTGTTAACGACATTAGCTATAAAAATATAAGGATAAATAGAATATATGTATTTGCATAAATGAATCACTTGAGAGTTGTAGTTCAATTATTTTCATTTGGGCCTTGGAAATTGTCTCACAAATTTATTGGGATGTTTTCTATAAACTATTAACAACATTAGCTATAAAAATATAAGGATAAATAGAACATACGTATTTACATAAATGAATCACTTGAGAGTTGTATTTCGATTATTTTCCTTTGGGCCTTTAAAATTGTCTTACAAATTTATTATGATGTTTTCTATAAACTATTAACGACATTAGCAATAAAAATATAAGGATAAATAGAATATATGTATTTACATAAATGTATCACTTGAGAGTTGTATTTTGATTATTTTCATTTGAGCCTTGGAAATTATCTTACAAATTTATCGAAAGGAAATGTCTAATTTCAATACATGCATAATACAAAAAATTATCAAAAGTCGGTCAGCCACTACATTTCCAGATATACCAAAATGTACATACCATATAAAACAACTCATGCAAATTCCAAAAGGCTACAAGTACGCAGACGTAAATGAACAACATCATAAAATTGAAGTCAAATACATATTGAAATGACTGTCAAGAATCAAAGAGTTGTTGTTGAATTGGCCAGCCTATCTTCGTAATTAGCAAGTGGGACGTTGGCGTGCCAGTCGATTGGCAATTGTTTACATCTGGTATCTTTGAATATGATGATGGGACAAAATGCAATCCAATTTATATCTGGAGTCGTTCTTAAATGCATGTTCCACCTTAATAGCACATTTACCTGGTTAGTTAATGGAGTATTAAGTTCACCACATTAATATTGCAAGTGGTGGTGGCGTCACATATGAAAATTCTTATAGTTGCAACAATACTGACAGTAACGAATAGGTGGTAGGGGATTGTTCAACTTTGACTGCCATCTGCTTCTCTGGATACAAAGGCTTCAGTGAAATTCTGCAACATAATAATGAGATTTATTACGTGTGCATAATTTAATAGACAAATGGTATTACTTATGAAACTATATGGAAAATGGTAAGGGGAAAAAAGTACCTCAACCTGAACTGTTCCTTTCATTGAGTTTATATTATTGTGAATCTTTAGCTCCATGGTTGGTTTCAACCTCTTACATTTTCATTTACATGTATCTTTACAATTGAGACTATTGGGGATTTTGACAATGCTTTTGTTGCTCCCCAATTTTGCCTCACAACTATAAATTGCATTCATCTCAGCAAATTTACGACTACAGTTTTGTGACCCATTAAGATTTTTAAACAAACACAATGTATCAAGAATCCAATGCCCACAATTGCAAACCAAATTCAAACCAAAGCCAATCCATTTTCTATAACGTTAGGATAAGGCTATAGAAAAAATTAAAGTCAATGAATATATTTAATTTCATACAATAATGTGACAGTTTAATTTTTTTATTTTACTTTTTCCAACTTAGACATGAACTTCAAATCTTTTTTGGGGCTAGTATTTTCTTAAATATTAAAACTATGTTAAGTTACTACTAATTATTACGACCACTCATAATTCTCAATTATCATTACAAACAATATCAAACAAAAACATATGGTCCATTCTGTATAACAAAGTACATCCCAACTCTTTTCTAGTATGTATCAGCAATTAAATTTGAACAATTTCTCATCCATTTATTGATTATCAACTATATACTGATACTTAAAAATATAAATTCCTCTCCAACATTAATTAGGGTTCACATGTCATAAAAAAAAAGGTGAAGAATTATTCTTCAAAATATGAACCCAATTAATCATAAGAATAATAAATACAATATTTGTTTTCAACATTAATTATGCTTCGAAAATTTTGCAATATGCAATATTAAATATGACCCAATTAATCGTAAGAACAATAATTATGCAATATTTGTTTCCAACATTAAAAAGGTAAGAATAATAATTATGCAATATTTGTTTCCAACATTAAAAATGGTTGAAATTTTTTCTTCAAAATACAATCCTAAAGAATCAGTACAATGATAAATGCAATATTTATTTCCAACATTAATTAAGGTTCAATTTAATAAAAAGGAACCAAATTTTTTTTTTTACAAAATCCGAATCCAAATAATTATAAGAACAATAAATGGAATATTTGTCTCCAAAATTAATTAGGGTTCATACCATACAATATGTATAACCTTTAATAGTGGTTCACATCAAGAATAAACTTATAAATGCATCAACAAACTCAAAAAAAAAAAAAAAAAAAACCAAATATATTGGAAACGACTTTAACTTATAATATTGAAAATATGAAAGTCTTTATCTTTGTAAACCCAAATAATTTACGCCGGACACTTTCGCAGTCTTTCTCTTCTCTCTCTTTCTTCTTATAACTTTCCTTTTCTAGCCATTCATGTACCCGAGAATTCACAGCATGTACCAGTTGCTCTGTTTCTTTGGAAACAATTATATGGAAGTAAAAAAAGAAAGAAGAACAAATTTTAGGAAAGATATGAGACCTCTCTCTTGTTTTGGTAACAAATAAAAATCTGATTCTATTTTGGGATGTGGGGGAAGAAGATACTTTCAAATTGGCTGCAACACTGTTATGATATACGTATATATTATGCGTATAATTCATATATATTCTGTATATAATTTATATTTCCATAAATACAGATGTTTAACTTTTTTAGTTTTTTACTGCCGCTATAGTGAAAACTGCCCAGGAGGAGCACTGTTCCAATGGAGAGGATTTTGGTTTGGAAAGAGAGGATGCTGGAGACACAGTGACACAGAATAATTTTTATTATTTTATTTATTAAAAGAATTTCAAGTGAAGAAAAAAGTATGAATATCTTTTATTAAAAATAATTTCCTAATCAAATTGATGAAATATTCCAATCAAGTTTGTCCAAACAATATAACAACAATTTAGATAAGTTTCTTTTAAAAGGATTGAAATAATAAAAATAAAAATAAAAATAAAAAAACGATAATAAAACAATCTTAATAATAACTAGATTTTTTAAAAAATAACCCTTTTTGCACAATTCAAAAGTCTTTGAACAGTTGCACACAAGGGGATAAGCTACCTTGTAAGAAATTTGACTTATGCCAAGTTGTCAACTAGGCTTGTCAATCATTTCTCAAAAATATTTATTATCCTGACTTTTACAATACTTTGACGTAGACTATTAACCACGACAAGTTCTACAAAAGCATTTCAAGCAATATGAATATCATTTCTTTTTATTAAAAATACTTTTTGAATTAATTTGATAAAATCTTCCAATCAAGTTATTCCAAACGATATAACAACAATTTAGATCAGTTTATTTTTAGGATTGAAAAAGAAAGAAAAAAAAAAAAAAATCATCTTATTAGTAACTACATTTGTTCAAAAACAATCCTTTCACAACTTAAAAGATAAAAAGTATAGATATAAACACGGACACAAGACATAGACGAGCATCAATTTTTTTAAAAAAAGTAAGACATGGACGCTATTTAACACGACTAATATAAATATAAATTTATAATTATATAACTATTGTCTATTGGGTAGGTAAAACAATTATAGAATTTTTATTAATTTATAATTTCTAAAATAAAAGTTCACAAGTCAGAAGATGAATTTATTCGAATATAAAAACTATGATTGTCATGTGTTTATTTTATATACGATCAAGAGTTAAAATATGTTGATCAAATATACGAGATGTGTAGGCTAATTGTCCAAGATGTGTTCGTCAACAGTTCGAAATTATAAAAGTTATTTTTAAATTATGGATGATGAGGAATTTTTTTCTTGCATTGACAAATTGCATTCATCATGTGTATTTGTTTTAATTCTTAACTTTTAGGATATGGAGGTAGCCTTGACATCAGGTTGTTAATGAATAGAGATGATCACCTAAGTCACACAATCCTTCTTAATGGGTGTCGCTCTCACACTCTTACGTTCCGTGCGCACTCTGACTCAAATTCTCATTATTAATGATTTAATTCTACCTCTCTCATGCTTTCGTCAATGGTTCAAAAATAATAAAATTATTTAATTAGGGACGATGAGTGAATCTATTCCTGACTGATTGCATCAACCATGTATCTGTTTTAGTTCCTAACTTTCAGAATATAAAGATAGGCTTGACATCATGTTGTTGCTGGATAGAGACGATCAAAACCATCTAAAGAGTTATTAAAGGAGATAAGGTTCATCTTTGCAACTGATTCATACAAGGAGAATGATAATAAATAGGAGGTCTGCCAATAAATAAGATAAAGAAAAATTAATACAATATTCCCCGCCAATAAATGAGGTAAAGCAATAAATAAGGTAAAGAAAAATTAATACAATATCCTTTTAACTCCTTCAAATTACTGATTTGATCCAAACGTTATCGATCAACACCACACTAGCGTACTCAATCGGTACCACACGAGTACCATTCATATTCATATCATTTCTTTATCTTCTAGATTATGTCGTCATTTTCGATAACGCAATTTTCAGATCAACAATGAACCCCATCACAAAGTGTCTATGAATATTCATAGAGTATTGAGTCTATAGGGATGCAAAAGTGTCCATACTTCGGTGCTTAAAAATTCAAACTTTATGAACAAATTCATAGAAAAGGGTTAAGCTACTCCACTTGTGCAAGTTTTGACTTGTGCTAATTAGACTTGTCAATAATTTCTCAAATTTTGACTAATACAAGGGGATATAAAAATAAATAAATTAAAAAAAACGTTGACTTTTGATTCAGTCTTGACCGGAGACTATTTACCACGAAAAGTTCTACAAAAGTGGTTAATAAATTGAATAGTAATCAAAGTGGCCGTTTAACTTGTACTTGTTCCACCCTTGGGTTCTTCTATAAATAGTGAGAGACTAATTATATTTTGTTCTCAACATTCAACAACAATATATAAAAAGTTATACAAATATACGTAAACCAATGATTACGTACAAGCAATTAGTTTTTTGTCTGCTGGTGTTTGTTTCCACGGTAAGCAATCTCATAACCTCCATATATATAGTATATTTTTTGGGTGAAGTTGTTTACTATAATTATTTAACCAAAACGAAAAAACAAAAAATGGTGTCCTATAATTGAATATTACCATTTTATTATTGTTATTATTATTATTATTATTTTTTACAAATTCTTTTAGTTGGTTAAGGTGTGTTTTGTATTTAAAACTTTCGACCAAAGAATGTAATTCAATATTATTTAATCCATTTTGAAATAAAAAGTCTAAGTTCTCCTAGAAATAAAAATAAGTGTCTCATAATGGTGAAAATATTAATGAATATTTAAAACATTTGGACTATGATTTCCATCTAATACATATAAATAAATACGCATGTCATATAGAATGTTGGTTATCAGACTAGCTTTTAGAACAAATATTTTGCTAAATTTTGAAATGTAAATTGGGATAATGTTGATGATTATTAACTGTTCTTTAACCAAAATTGGTGGGTCAGATCGGACCGGCCTATGTTCACGGCGATGATTCTCTGGAGTGGGTGCAGAAAGACAACCGGCGCTTCCTTCATGTTGTTTATAGGGTTGGCGATCTTAATCGAACGATAAAGTATGACGCTTTTGATCTCTGAGTCTCATTTCTATATACATTTTCAATACCAGAAGTGTTTTTTTAACAGTGTGCGTGTGTGTGTGTTTTCTAGGTTCTACACAGAGTGTTTTGGCATGCAGCTACTGAGAAAAAGAGAAAACCCGCAAAAGAAATACTCAAAAGCAACTCTTGGGTTTGGTCCTGAAGAGACATACTTTGTAGTGAAGTTAATACAGAGTATGTATGATAAAGGATTAACATCAACTGTCTCTTCCCATACATTTTCATACACAAACATCCCTATTTACCATACAGTACAGAGATCATAATCTAACTCATCTTTTCATACACTAAAACACAGAACATGGAGTGAACAAGATTGATATCGGCACAGGTTTTGGACACCTCGGAATAGCAACTCAGAATGTGAGTATTGTTATTTATTTATTTATTTGGTGGAGAGGACTATATTTCTGCAGTTTGAGGTTTTAACCCTTGATGATCACACAGATTTATGAAATGGTTGAGCTGATTCGTAGCAAAGGCGGAGTTATCACGACTGAACCTGGAACTCTTGAAGGTGGGGGGACGACCATTTTCGCCTTTGTGCAGGATCCAGATGGCTACAGTTTTGAGCTCGTCCAAAGTGGTCCAACTCCTGATCCACTTAGTCAAATGATGCTTCGTGTGATCGATCTGGATCGCGCTACCAACTTCTATGAAAAGGTAAATAATCTGATATAGTGTTCATATTTTTCCACAGAATGTCCAGTAAAATTTATCAGAAAGGTAAATAATCTGATGGTGTGGATGGTAACGTTTTTAACTAACTCCAGAGTATTCTTTTATTTTTTTATGGGATTGAAAAGCAAGAACATTTACATAAACAATATGCGAATAGCCCTTTCCTCGTAGTTATACATATGAGTTCGAACGCCCAACCTTCCCTTTGGAAAGGAGAGACCATACCATCTGAACTAATGCCTATTGGTGCCATTTCACCAAGCTTTGAACACACTTATACTTTGGTTTGTAATGTACAATTTTAAAATGAATGTTAGGACTTTGGTTGAAAATTTTCATGTCAAAAACTTTTATTTTGATAAATAATTTAAAGTCAAAACTTGATTATGTAATCTTGTTCTATTTTAATTTAGCGTTTTGAATTCTAAGGGCATTATTAGAATTAAAACTCAATCCAAGGGCAAAAAAGTAAATTCAATACTCCAAACAATTTGGGTTCATGCATTCGTCTATATATTTTCCCCAAGTATTACATGTAGATGCAGTGTTTTCTTGTGTCACTTGAATATTGATTTTCTTTTGCCTTTGATATCACGCAGGCACTTGGCATGAAGCTTTTGCATAAGTTTGATAACCCTCAAGAGAAGGTGAAGAATCATAAACTGACATACTAAGACTTGTATTGTTATATATAAAACCCTTCTTTACTTTCTGACAACCATATTGTATCTGAATTTTTTTAAACTCATCTGTGGACAGTATACTGTATCTATTATGGGTTATGGGGAGCTATTTCAATCGACCTACCTAGAGTTGCAATATAATTATGGAGTAACTGAGTATACAAAGGGAAATGGATATATCCAGGTAAGCTACTTAGTTGCTTATGTGACCTACTTTGAGCCTCTCAAAATGTATTTTTCCTGATACATATGAAATCCATTCCTAGGTCGCCATAAGTACTGATGATGTATACAAAAGTGCCGAGGCTGTTAAGCTGGTTACTAAAGAACTAGGAGGAAATTTAATTCTACCACCAGGTCCAATTCCGGGAATCAAGACAAAAGTTACTTCTTTCGTTGATCCAGATGGCTGGAAAGCAGTAAGTATTTTTTATCATAAAGTTCCTATAATAAAACTGGAGAAATGTCAATGTGAAAGTTTAGAGACCACATGCAGTGTGAATCTACCCAAAACAAAGTCATTATATAGATAAATTTTAAACGCCCTGGAATTATCTGTCCTGGGGACTACAACAGGAATGCCCTATTTTGGAGGGAGCATTAGATGTCACTAGTTCTTCATGATTCGATCAACTAAAATTAGTAAACACTAACAAGGAAATATTACCTTCTGTTGCTAGCTGTCTGCCTCATAGAACTGTTGTATTTGGTGTTTATTCTTCCAGGTCTTGGTGGACAATGAAGATTTCCTAAAGGGACTGCAGAAGAAAGAGTGAAATTAGTGAAGGGACTCACCATTTCGCAGAGTCTTTGTGTTTCAAATATTACTTGAACTATGCTCTAAGCAAGCTCCAATTCAATGATGTACACATGTATAAATAAGGATATGATATTGACAATCCACTTCTATGCAATTGCATTTTACTTTCATTTTCTAATAAATAAAATGACAAAATTACTTCTCAAAAGTGGAATGTAAGTACTTTTTGGGACCCGTGGAGTGTGAGTCTGCTTTTGAAGGACAAGTTTAATTACATTTTTGAAAAAGCAAGCTGAGTTCAAGGCTAAAAAAGTGGAGTGTGAATATCATCATCTTTGAGATTTTTGAAAAAAGCAAGTTGAGTTCAAGACTAAAAAAGTGGAGTGTGAATATCATCATCTCTGATAAATCTACGAAGGTGAGGTTTAGGAATAGCGGTTGAATTTGTCATTTTCATTTATTAAGAATTTAACTACTGATGTTTTCTCGCACGTGACTGGAATTCTCACCAAAACTCAGTTTAACAAATACTTATAAAGATTTTATTACTCTTTTCTTTATAACATTATCCTTTTCTTCTCAACTGCTACGCATCTAAATTTTTATCATTTAGCTATATAGGAACAATCCATCCCTTCTGGGGTTTTCTGAATACTAGTGTGAATTTCTCATTCTGATCTAAGAACTTTGTAATCCTTTATTGAGGACAGCCTTGGGGTAAAACTTCGTATAATTTCTCTCGAAGAAAACAACAAATGAAAAAGGTACAAAAACTACTTAGGCCATAACCAGCATGAATACTATTAATGTCGTAATAATTTTATCTTTCTATGATCTCCAAATGTACAGAAAAATAAAGACAGGAATTTACTACTAGCCAGCTGCAATTTAGGTGAACTCTTGAAAGGATTGACCATCAATAACCTAGTGATAACTATAAAAATAAGATCCAATCCAACAAACATGTAGAATGAGATCTTACCAGAAATACAAAAGTATGAAAACCAGAGAACCAATCCATCCAAGTGCAGTATCTACTGTGCTCATTAGCTCAGGCAACATCTGAGATCTCAGATTGACTTGTTCAACTGACCATGTTTGGAGATGTAAACTAAGAAATCGTGGTGTTCAAATCAAAAATATTTTTTAGGCCAGAAAATTGAATCCATCAGACATTTTATATCTTAGCAATGGATCTTTACAATTGAAAATTCATTTTCCATCAAATCCTTTACCAATAACTAACTTTTAGCACTGCATTTACCATAGAAAATTGTTCCCCACTCTGAAATCTCAAAGCTAAGTGATTTTTATGCCCGATAATTTTACTACCAGAAGCTGTCTCAATAACTTCTTGAAGCTATCTTCTGTGCATCCATCATGAGGTAGTATCCGCAATTCAGAAAACAGTACCAAAACTTCAAAAGGATCCAAATGTTTAAGAATCTCTGGCTCTCGATCATAATCCTGGAAATGTAAAATTGTAATTATGGTGAAAAGAAAGAACCATTCAGTAAAATTATCAATTTATCATAATGGTCAAGTATCCGTTCACAATTAATGAATTCATTTTCCATCTCACTGTAAAAAATAAAAAGTTGAATTATCAAAATACCCTTTCTCAGTAATATAAAGTCTGCTCTGGTGAATGTAACTAAACAAATTTAAAATTGCAGGGACAGACAGATAGATACCCGAATAAAGATACCAAGAAAGACTTGTTACAATGCTTTTTCCTTATATGAATCAAGATCAATATGGTAAAGAAGTTTTTGAATGTATATAAAGCACAGAGGTTTATTCAAGGTAAACTCACCTTCTCTGTTACTACAACAATTGGCTTGGAATCATATTTGGCGTGAAGTTTTTGAAGTCTCATTCTGATCATTTCCATATCCTAAGTTGATTGACAACCAAAAAGACATCAGAACTTGACATATTAAAGCTGCACCCGATTCAACTTAAAAAGGATGAGAGAAGGGAGAACAGAGAAAATTAATGAGTAAAAGCTACTATATTCTCCTTAAGCAGTACATTTGGCTTGTGCTCTTAAGCTTTTCTTTTTCAATCAGCAGTTTGCTATACAATTTTGTAATGAGATCTGAATCATGTACTCAAAACAGGAGATTTAAGGTGTGATTCACTTTAACGCATATACATGCCTAACAAACTAACTATTTAAGTCAAGCCATGAGAGAAGATAAGTTTACCTCAGTTTTAAATAAATGATGGTCATTGAAGTCTAGTTGATCCACATGCAATGGTCCTATCTGCAATGAGTCATCCACCACAGAAATAATCAAGGTAAAGTAAATCATAGCTTGAAGGAGAAACTAATGAGCTCAGCACAATATTTGACTACATTCACGAATATTTCTGGACCAAACAAGCTTTTATAGAAGATTTCCAAGAAGCGCTATGGAAAAACAATTTTAAACAAGAAATGAAAGGAAAAATACCTTCTCAATGCCCTGAACAAAGGCATTTGCAAAACCAATTGCAGAAACACACAAGACGATCTTTTCATATACAGCTCTTAAAGGTAATTTTTGGGAATTGTTTCCCACTGCAAAGAAGTATGAAGGAGCCATTGCGGTGAAGAATATAGGAAGAGATTGCTTGACATTCCTCATCATCAATTCAAGGATTTTGAGATTCTCTTCTGATACCTTCATGACTCCAGTACATAATAACATTTCAGCTCATTACAAACGCACAAGTCAGACACGCATAAACTTAATCGAAAAGCAACACGTTAATATTGTTGACAAAATGACATGCTAAAACACATGCAACATTTCATGTCTTTTCCCTAAAAGCACATAAATTTATAAGAAAAGGGAATTGAAGAAAGAAAAAAAAAAAAAAAAAAAAAAAGGAACTAGTAAGTTCAGTGTTCTTTTACCAAGTCAGCGTGATGAACAACAACAACATCTGCCCGGCTAAGTGCAGTTAAAGGTTCCCTTAATGGTCCAAGTGGAAGTAATTGATGGTTTCCCCATGGCATCATCCCATTCACCATTACGATCTCCAGGTCACGCCACAAGCTCAGATGCTGTCTTCCAAATAAATACAATTCATGTAATATCATTTTAACTGCCAGTAAAGTGAAAATTTGAAAATATGTGTTTTACTAACTCATTGCTAAAAATAAAAAATAAAATCAACTAGGATTAACTCGTGGAAAGAGACAGTATACATTTTGAATCACAGAGATCAATGTTGTGAGAGGATAAAATCCTTGAGAAGGAAAATGTTCTAGAATGTGATTAAAAAAAGCATCACAAGTTCACACCCACGGATATACAAGAAAGGAACAAGAGTATAGCTACCTGCATTCCATCATCTAGAATTGTAGCCGCAATTTTGTCCAGTCCTCCATGATCTCCATCTTTCGGGTCAAAACCAAGTCTCTCAAAATATGTACCGTGACAGTGATTCATGAAACCATATCTTTCAAGAAAACAAGCAGCTGTAGCAGCCCGGTTTGCACCAACACCAATCTTCACAGATGTCCCAAAGAGATGCCTATGAAGCATGTTAGCTTCGTCCCCACCAGCATAACCCTGCCAGAAAAATGAATTTACTTCACAAGAAGGTTGATAAAGTCACAAATTGAGAAGTATCTTGGATGCTGATTAACTCTGAGTTCACAAGTAGGCTGATAAAGTCACCAATTGAGAAGTTCTCTGGATGTTGATTTTAAGTCTTGACTTGTAGAAAAGTTTTTCTTCTTTTTGCTTAATTTTCCAAATAGTTTGGTGATAAGGTTTATTATGGACTCAATTTTAAGCTCTCTTCACCTAGGTTTATCTCATTATAAACATTTAGTTCTAGTGTGCTGAGAGAAGTTACATATGATCAATCGATATACATACTTCTTATAAAAGCTATTAGGCTAGAGGTGTAAAACAATAGGGATTCCTAATCCTAGCTTCAACTGGGCATGGGAATATTTGAGTTAGTCCCAAATCTTTCCTAATCCAATTAATAATGGGAATAAACTATCTTTCTATAATTGTACTCTATGACTAAGAATTTTATAATATAAAGTCCTTTACTACTCAATAATGCAAATAAGCTCCTCCACTATCCACTGTCCAAAAGTAGTCCATGGCAAAATGAATACTATCTCACCCTTGACATAATCTTTTATTCCATAAGCATCCAATTTAATCCTTATGATTACTGAAAAATTATTTCTTTTCATAAATGAATTTTCTGAAATCAATAATTTTATACATATAATACACAAAATCCATTTTAGCAAAGATTCTACTAAAACATCTACTCGGCCCCTGATTCAGTGATCAACTTCATTATATCAACTCATGAGGATATTATTTTATTTTTATTTTTTGATAATCGTGGGTGTCCGGGCCAGCTTGCACGCACCTCGACTAATTCCACGAGGCCCTGAAGTTAACGGCTGGGTAAGCCTCCAGTGGCCCTGCGGAGACTTGAACTGGTGACCATTCAACTTATGAGGATATTTGACTCTCATAAAGAGTGTGAAATTCCATATTGAGTATTTGTGCTCCCACATGTCCAATACTGCTTACCCAAAAAACGCTGGCATTGACCCCACACAATTGTCAACATTGTTAAATTAAAGTAACTAATACCTAAAACTGAGCCCACCAAATCTCTTAGGATTATGAGTCATTATAAGAAAGCAAATCAAAATAGGGGACAATAATTTCATGTTGTTTTCTCATTATCGCCTGTTTAGGTAGCCACTTCTATGATTGAGATAAACCACCCTCTTGAGATAGAAAACACTCAGTAAGTCACATGTCTTAAGGTGTTTGCAGATGAGATACCCAACTTCATCAATGACTCTGAAAGTATCATGCATGGAACTATGTTTTCAATTAATGAATAAAAAGAAAACAATTAACGATAACAATTATGTCAAATATCTAAATGAAATTGTCTTTTAGGGCATACAATCCCAAAAGAGAGACCATGCCCGAGTAACTCAAATCCTTAATTCTAGCTAAAGAGCAAGTAGCCAACTTCATGGACAAAATTGAGCTTATCATGTACCAACTAAAAACTCTGTTCATAGCTCAATTGTATGCTATGGATTAGAATTTCACACACTGCTTAATTTGAGAGCTGAAACTCTCAAAAGAGAGACCATGCCCGAGTAACTCAAATCCTTAATTCTAGCTAAAGAGCAAGTAGCCAACTTCATGGACAAAATTGAGCTTATCATGTACCAACTAAAAACTCTGTTCATAGCTCAATTGTATGCTATGGATTAGAATTTCACACACTGCTTAATTTGAGAGCTGAAACTCTCTTTTGAGGTCATGATAGAGAGTAAGGGGTTCACAATTTGTACTTGTTAGCTCATGGCACCCAAACCCTCTTTGGGACTTTAGACATCATTAGCAGTTAATCACCATCTTATAAAATTTGCTTCCCAAATGTTCATCTACTTATAACTAAATCAAACAGAAAACCCACTAAGAATAAACAGAATTTAACAAAGCCTCAAATTGAATCAAAATCATCTTACTCCATAGAAATTCAAACATCATCATGTATGATCCTAAGAATCAACCTAAAATCCAAACAGACCCATCATAGCCAAACCCCAAAAGAACAGAACCAGGAAAGAAATGAATACCCTTGTAAGAATGAGAGGTGAAATTCCAGAAACAGCCAACCAGCGAGCGATGAACTCAACCATCGGTGTCTTCCCATTGCCTCCCCACGTCAAATTTCCAATGCTAATCACCGGCACAGGCAACCTTCATTGACAAAACAAGAGGCATAATTAAGAGAATTAAACAAATGGCACTGTTTGGCTGTAAACAAAGTCTGCAAGAAAAAAAAAAAAAAAAGTTTAAATTGATTTGGGTTTCAAATAGAGGAAAATTAAAACAGTGCATTTTATTATTATTTTTTTTCTCTTTTCTTTTCGCATACTCTGAAGGAAACTAGATGGAGAAGAAGTGAGAGAGGAATAGTTGGGTTACCTTTGTTGACGGAAGAGACCCAAGTGGTAGAGTTGATGGCGGAGGTAGAGAGTAAGTTTGTAGAGAGAAGAAGCGAAGGAGAGTAGAGGGATAAGAGAAAGTTGAAGAGGAGAGAGATTGTAGCGTGTTTGAGAGCGTGGTGTATAGGCTATTTGGTTCACCACTCTTCTCAATCTCTCCATTGTTGAGAAAATCGAGCAAAGCAAGTAGAATAGGAGTTGGGATCGTGGAGGCCTACTTGGATGATAAAATTTAGAAGAGAGGTCAGATTGTGCAGCATGTCTGTAATGTCATCACTATTCTTTCCAACTTGAACCCCGTACGGATGTCAACTGGGCACGGGCACGAGCAGGGGCAGGTATGGATCCCAAACCCTTCATGGGTATGGGATGGGAATTCAATCTTTGATTACAAATAGAATAAAAAAAGGCATGGTTTCATTAAAAACCTCTGTGTTGCACGACAATAAACTGCAGCCTCTTTGCCTCGGGCTCGGATTCAGTCCGGTTTACTGTTCCTCCAGTCCATCCAGTCCAATTTCCCTTGGCCCTCCTACCATGTAGTAGTAACCATGGTTAACCAAAAAAAACCGAAAAGCTGCAGTAAATTTGCCAAATTTTGGAGCTGTGACGGCCCTGGTTTTTAAGCCAGTGCGTCTTGTGATGAACTGAATGTAAATCCAACGATAAATCCAGAATGCAGAAGCAAAAGATGAAACAACGGTCTCTAAAGATGAAACATGTCTCTAAGACATCAATGTGACACTCAATGAGGTCGAGAACTCAAAGAAAACAAATGCGGAAGCGGCGTTTCAAAAACGGACAAGAAAGAACCTAGGGGAAAAATAGTCATTTCCAATATGAAAGTGGGTACCACCATGTACACCATTGGAATGACAACGAAAAATCAATAAACTTAAACTCAATAATCACTTGATTCGGAGTTCGGATGAAGAAGATATGACTAATGGAAGAAAGAGGTGTAAAAAGGTTAAAATAGTCAACCCAATACCATCTAACTGGTTAGGAGACCTTCCTAAACGGTTAGGAGGCAAAAACAGAAGGTTCGCATTCTACCCCAACTCATCTAACTGGTTACAAGAAGTCTACTACTTGCACACTTGTACTGAAAGTCAGTAAAAAGTTGACAGCAGGGGTTTTTCGATAAAAAAATGGGTTTTTGAGGGCTGAGATGACATTTTCTGGAAAAACACACAGAAAAAAACCCCCTCAAAATCGAGTTTTCTACTCAAAAAAGCAGAATAAAATGAAAAAAAACTCGCTGTGAAGTATCCAAAATGCCCCTCCATGAAATCAGGTCATGAGGGTCAAAAAGTTACTAAATGAAAGACAAAAGGCTAAACTTTGCAATGGATTTCCGGTACCAAGACGACATTTTCTGGAAAAACACAAAAAAGAAACCGCCCTTAAAATCACGTTTCCTAAGTGACCATGTCAAGACTGGAATTTATTTCCAGAAGGAAAATTCCAAAATGCCCCTAAACCAGATTATGCAATAAAAATGCAAAATGAGTCCATAGGAGGCTCATTTCACCAAAGAAGAAGTTTTTCATGAAAACGATCATGCATGCAAACGTAACTTACCTAATAGGATGTGCTACAATGGTCCATGGCTTAAAAATATCGCCGATGCAAAATACGACCCCCCGATGGCCAAAACGACAAAAATGAAGCTTGGAATGAAAATTTGGAACTCAAATTATGAAATGGTTTCAAAATACCATTTGGCCCTTGGCCACACTTCATATATGATTAATGAATGCTAATGGATGAATTTCATACACAATGCACGCTCCGGTACAAAATAGTATACTAAAACTGTAATGACCCGGATTTTCACGGATATTTTTTTTCCGTTGTCTTTCCTTTCTGAGTTCAGTTCCTCTTCGCTTAGTGTCGTCTCGAGTGCTCTCGAGTGATTTCTGAGACTCTTTTCTGTGGATTGACAACTTCCTTTGAGAACCGAGTCGTTTCCACATTTTTCGTTTTTCGACACTATGCACTTTTCATCCTTTTCCCTATTTCGTCCTATTTTGTCTTTTCCCCGTTTGACACTTTATTGGCATAACCACACTTCTTGTGTTCAGAGTTGGTTTTTGACTTTATGTATCTCCATGTTGAGTGGTTTCCACGAAATACGTATCTTTACTTTTGCAAGAAAGTACTTTGGTTGCTCCCGGTGTCCGTAGGAGCATAGATGCAAAGTTCTTTGAAATTATTTTCTTTTCTTAGGGTGTTTTTCGTAAATATGTTTTGAAGATATTTTATTTCAGGGGTTTTTAAGAAAATATTTTTGGAAGATATTTTCATTCTGGGCCATTAGTGCAGTTTTCACTTTTTGAATGGGCCATTGTGTAATTAATGAAAGTTATTGCTAAATGCCTTGTTTTGAGCTTGGATCCTCGTACGGGATTCATTTTCACTTTTCGTCGAGTCGTGTACTCTTAGAAATTCCTTCTGGTCATTGTTTTCCAGTTTCAGGGTTTCTGGCCCTTGTTTGCGCCAAACTTGTTTTAGGCATAACTTTCTGCTCGGGACTCACTTTTCGACACCGTTTGTTCCATTGTTCATATTTTATCATTTTGAATCTTTTTTATTCACAAAGTTTTGCCATTTGAGCACGTCTGCTCAAATTTTACTTTTTCGGACCCGGCGGGGCCCGTTCGGGGCACTTTTTGAGATTTCTATAAAAGGAGGGTGAGATATTTCATTTTTCATCTTCTCCCCTCTTCATGCACGACCTGGAGCTCCCATGGCAGCCCAAGGGGTGCTGCCATATTCTCTTTCCTCTTTTGGTTCACTTTTCTTTAATGAAAAGTCTTCGGCCTTAACGTTTGTTGTTCCTATCGCCGTGCTCTATCTTTCCCCCTTATTAGAATTTAGTTTTGATCATTTCTTGAGTTTTTTTTTGAGGTCAAGTTATGATTTTGATGGGGCTTTCATGGGGGTTATGTTCACGGCGTTGTCCCTGACAAAACCTAGTAGTTTCGTCAGATTCGGAGCCGTTCCATTTTGATGGCTTTTGAGATTTTCATCTCAAATTGAGGTAGGGAATGTTTTAGGCTTTTGTGTGTATTGTATTGAGTGTTTAGCATGATTATACAACTTATATAAATGCCTTGTATCAAATCTTGAAAGTTATTAATTTTTATTTCTTTGTATAAGATTTAAAATTTATGATGATATATAACTTTGATTTGAATTGTGGCATGTTAGAAAATCTAAATTTAGTATGTTTGTTAACATAAATTAAATTGGGATTAATTAAATAAGAATTGCTCTTTTTAACTAATAATTATCTTTTGTGAAAGATTAAAGTACATGGCCGTACTTTGCATGAAATTAAGTTGTAGCATGCTTCTAAATTAGGTTTTGGCATGTTGTTTAACATACTTTAATTTGAGAGTATTTAGACAAGTATGAAAATCTAGAGATTTTAATTAAAATGATTAATTAAAATCTAATTAAGGGTTCCATTGGCCTAATTAAGTGTTTAACTTGATATTTGTGATAACTATGACTTATGTACTAGCATATGTTAATTTGGGACCATTTAGAGTTGTTTTAGAATTGAGAGATTTAATTATCATGATGTAATTAAATTCTACCTTGTTGCACCGTTGATTGAATCATGTAATTGACATTGATAATATGTTTAAGGCATGATTTTAGGCTTATAATGGAATTATGAGTTTATGTTCCAATATTGAATTATATTGTTATAGCGTGTAACAAATCGCACACTGAAGATTCGACATGTGATGTTATTATGGTGCGTAACGAATCGCGCTCTGAAGATTCGACATTGTCATCCTATAGTAGTTGTGGATTTAGAGCATGTGTCGTGTGGTTACAACCTACTTGTGTATGAAGGTAGTTTTGTGTACTGTTTAATACGTATATAAGTTGTTAACTTAATTATTTTGGAGTCTTGGGACATTGTTACTGTGATATGGCTAAAGTTCGGCTTTAGTACGGGAGGTATGAGTTCTCCCCAATTGAGATAGTGCGTACTAGGGTGGTCTTCCCAGCGAGTTAATGCCCGGAATAACCAATTTGTTCTTGGTTTAGTCCGAGACGTGATGTCCAAGTCTTCCACTATTTGATTTCGCATTCAATTCCAAGTTGACAAACAATGTTTAATTGTGACTTGTGGTTTTGGTAATTGGCGATTTGATGTTGTTAAGTACATCCATACTAAATTGATATATTTAGTTGATTTCACACTTTTAGATTGCTAGTTGATAACCTAGAGAATTTATGTCTTGATGTGTGGTATTAGATATTTTAATTGTGCTAAATTGTTATATTTAGTTGATGTTGCATTTTAGACTTCAAGTTGATAACCTTGAGAACCACTATATTGTTGCTTTGTGTAAGCATGTTCCTATGTTGTTGCTTTGTGTAAGTATGACCCTATATTGTTAAAATTGCATGAATGAGGTGATTGATGCTAAAAATGATCTTAGGTAGCTAGGATGCTCCCTGAGTCTCACCTTGACATAGACGTTAGGTGGAATGAACCACAATAATTAAATCATGCTACTTGTAAAACTTTAGGTCGATGCATGCTCATTTCCTACGAGTAGCTTTATGTTACTCACCCCTACGATACTAGGGCATATTTCAGGTGCAGGATACAAGATTGGAGATTGCAATTGCTTGGGTGATTTGCTGAGTTGAGCTTCTTTAGAAACATTCTTGTTCACATGCAAGTGTTAGCATGTTCATGATTTGTCTATGAAATGTAAATTTTCTAACTTGGAGGTTTGACATGTCAAATGTCGTAAATGTATTGCAATGAGGCCATAGGCCATTGTAGCACATCTATTTTATCATATTACATACACTTGCATGCTCACTTTGGTAAACAATACCTTCCTTGATGAAACAAAAACTCGAAGTAGCATTTTTAGGGAGTTTTACCCTATTCTGTTCCAGGGCATTTCGGGTATTTCACAATGCATTTTTTTTCTTTTTTTCCTACAAATCACGTAGAAAACTCAATTTTGAGGGGGGTTCCTTCTTTGTGTTTTTCTAGAAAACATCATCTTGGCCCTCAAAAATCAATATTTTTCCGAAAAATTCTTGCTGCCAGGTTTTGCAAATTTTTAGTACAAATGTTGTTGGTACTATTCATCGACTTTTTTTTGAAAATCGTCACGACTGATCCGAAACTTCCGGAGGTCTTGTGGGTGTATTTTAAGATTGAATTTTCAATTTAGGCAATTTAAAAACCTCCCGAAGCCCTATTTCCAAAACTTGGGCTGTAGCTCGGATTAGTTTTTTTCCTCTTGACCTGATTTTCTTGGGGCCATTCTGGGCATTTTACAATGCATATTTTTTGTTTCTGTTTACAATCGGGGTAGGAAACTTGATTTTAGGGGGATTTTCTTCTTTGAGTTTTTCCAAAAAAGTCCGTTTAGATGC